GGGGGGGGGGGGGGGGGGGGGGGGGGGGGGGGGGGGTCAGCTGGAGAGCTCCAGGCTCCAAACAAAACGGTTGTCAGGACGATAATTAAAACAGCTGGGTTCGCATTTAGGAATGCGTTGAAAACTTGCTTTCCTGAATTCTGAAGAGTAGGACGTGTAAAAAAAGAGATGCGGGATGAAAATACTTAAACAAAAAGATCATTTCTTCCACTTTGTGCGGTGACAAAGTCTGCACAAAGGCGGGAAAACCGACAGGCCCTTCACACCCCGCCAGAAAAAGGCACCAAAACAGCACGTCAGGGTCAAGAAATTGACTCCTCGCCCTGTATCACAGCTGGATAGGACACACATTCTCGCAATTTCCTCCCCAAATTGGTCCCTCCAAGAGAAATCTCCGCAGATCGCTGTGCGAAAGGTGAGCGGGTGACAAAGGTTCTGTGTTAAGAGGCGGTCGCATCCTCTTATTGTTCGGGGCGCTTTAAAAAAGGCTGAGATGATTCATGGGGCATCTGAATGTTTCATTATGCTTCTGTATCCGTTGGAAGTGGAGCATTGTTTCTTAACAGTGAGAAACATTGAGAAGAGTAACAAAAAAAACACATTTAGTGTGAGGAGGGAAGTTCTTTGCGACATCACAGGTGCTTCAGATGGAATTATTACAAGTAAATCAGAGACATGTGAAAATACAGCTTGTTTTTTAGCCACTGGAATTAATCAATAATTTCCAAAGCTCCACATTAGAATGAAACCTATCTATATTACTGGATATGTGACTTCATTTGTCCTCATTTGTCCTCACTTATAGTGAGTTGATGTCTTTAACATTCAAACAAGTGGCACTGCTAATGCTTTTGAATTTAAGTGTAATTCACTCCCCCTATCTAATTTCACTTTGGAATAGGAGGGCAAAGTAACCGATAGCCATGACAGGACTAATTCCTAAGAGTTTCAGGTGGAGCTTTAGCACCAAGCCCGACAAGCCAAAGAAAACGTTCGTGTTAAACCGAACCTGAATGTGAATCAGTTTTAATCCTCTGATTTTCACCCTGGCAAAAATAAAGCTCAGCTCGAGCCCCTCGTAGAAACTCCTCTAAATGGAGTAAATTCTCTTCTCCCAGCAGCCATGAGGCAACTTTTTTTTTTTACAACAGGCAATCTGCTGAACATTGGAAAAATCAACACCACCCCTTTTTAAAAAAAAGTCCTTTAAAATGGGGCAAAATATTCTAAAAAACTGTTTTAAAAAAATGAAAAAAACATTTCTTTACAGCAGTTTTCCACCTAATGGAGAGCTAGCTGGTGGAACCATGAGCAGACTCCTTCTGGGAAACACGCCTTATCTGATCGTACAAAGTGTGAAGAAATTACACGACCAACATGTGCAGCAGACATGGGTTTAATTGAAAAGAGGCGGTGGGGAGAAGACCCCCACCTCCATCCCCACCCTCCCTTCCCGTCCTTACCTTATTGTAACCTCCACTCACTGCCCTGAAAACATGCCAGACCACGTCTGGTAAATTCACTTTCCTCCAAGCCCACTTCTTACATTCTTATCCATTGACATTTTCCTGTCGTTAAGCCGTAACACAATCTCCCACTGAGTGCATGCAATATGTCTGACCACTACATCAGCTCTGGGTTTGAAAAAAAGAAAAAAAGGAGCTGTTCGTCTTTGAATTGACAAGCTGGTAGGGCGGCATATATTAGGAAAATGTCCTGGAGGCAGTGGCAGCGCAGACGCAGCTGCTCTGCCGTCTGCTTCTGAGGGGTTGTGCTGATATGGAAATGTGGTTCAGTCTGAGGGACGTTGCCAAGCTCTTAAAACCAAAATGACACGATCTGACACTGACTGGTGTCCAGAGTTTGACCGTTGGTATGGATACCATCACCGCAATTGTTACTGTTAACACAGGTAGTGTCTAGAATCTGAATCAGTATCAGTGTAGTTCACTTTAATGAAATAAAAAGTTGTGTCGTGCCAGATTACACATATTTTTAATGGTACATACCCAAATATGTACTGAGTAACGTTCTGGTACTTCAGAAGTATGGATTTTAAAATAAAATTGTGTGTTTAAGCTGTAAATATGTTCATAGAGAATTTGATTAACCATTTTCTTTATTGTGTATCTATTTTTTTTCTTATTTTTTTTATTTTTTGCTTATTTAAAGTGCATTTGATTTCAATTCATTCTGCTTAGATGTATTCAAATTAAACTAACTTAAATTGAGAATTTACTAAAAGGTTTAAAATGACAAAAATGTTAATGAGAGCATTTTTAAATAACACATTTAAAAGTTTTAACATTATTGCATAAACATAACATCATGAACATAATTGAGTATCTATTATATGATATCGGCCCAGGGGTTTAAAGGAATCGGTGCTCTGTTCGGCTTTATTCGTGCAAACCAGGCGATCAAACTCTTATTAAATTTTGACCTCGTGTTGGTTTGCTACGACTTTCATCTCGTCCAGATTTAGACAAAGTGCCTCTGCCCCGTCCACCCGAACGGCACCAAATGCTGTTTGCCTTTAAGACCCTGCTGGGCGCAGAAGCCTCCTCCCTAAAGTTTACGGCCTCAGGCTGTGCGGGATATTTATTGGGGGTCTGTTTAGTGCGGGCAGTATGTGGCCGGCCAGGTGTTCGGCCGCACTGTAAACCTGTTGGACGCAGCTCCAGACCAGAGCAGGGCGCCATTACCGACACCTGAACCACAATGAGAGGGGTTTTTTTTTTCTGCACCGATATTTCAGGTGTTGGAACGCAGAACGAGGCACGTGCGCGCGCACGCACACGCGTGTGCACACGGCGTCTGCCCAGTCACATCTGGACCCCGGAGCTGCAGTCCATTCCACGTTTTGGCCCGCTGCTCTGGCAAGCGCGGAGCAAAACTTCTCACTTTGACAAATTAGAGGCATTTTCGAGGGATTACATCAGCTGCCGGTGTCGCTACCAACGCACAATTATTACAGAATTCCCTTCAATGGAACAGAGGAACCGAAATTTGAATAAAAAAGCTTTCAGTTGTGGTTTAAAATTCGATCATTTTTGGGCAGTGTGAAGGCGAAGGAATGTTGAAGTGTTGGAATAAACAGCAACAAACTGCTCTGGCTCTTAAAATTCTAAGTTTTCTCGTAAATAAAACAACAAAACCAACAAAAAAACACTAATATTGGCCATGTTAAAGCCCGTTAATGGGCCTTTCTGCTCGGCTCACTGCCACAGTCATAGAGATATCTCAGCCTTTTTCCCTCTGTTTGCTGTCACGTAGAGATGAGTTAATGCGGATCTGCCCTGACTGCTCCTGTGGGAAATCTCCTGACCCACACACACACACACACACACACACACACGGCGCTCAGACCTGGACACATCCGCACCTTTGTTCTTTTGTTAGACGCTTTAACGATGTTCCGCTGCATTCCTCTCCTAACTCAGTCCCTCTGTGGCCGGTTTGGTGGCCCCCTGCCCTGAGCTGATGCGCTCTCACGCACGTGCACACACAAACTGGCCGTGCACGAGTCCCTCAGATGCGGAAACGGGGACGTACAGTGTGCGGCGTGTGCTCAAATCCGGGCTAAACGCACAACGCAGGTGAGCACCTGAGAGGCTCAGGTCAGGGTGGTCTCCTTTAAAAGTGTTTACTATACAAGGAGCACCTGTTAAAAAGCCTTTGGTGTTGAGCTTCATTGGTGTCGGTGGTCTGTTTAATAGTTAGCTGGGCTGATCAGGGAAAAGTTGAGAGAGTTCATTTAAACCTGAGAAGATGCCATTAAAAACGGGTCCACTGGTCAAGTGATACAACCTCGACTTGAAACTGGGTATGATGTTTGTTCATCGGATCCTTAAACAAAAAAATGAAGGGTTTTAAGTGGGTAGAGACCAAAGCGGCTCACTCTGTACCACATGTTTCTCTCTCCCCAGAGATCCAGGACTCCAGTTTTAAGGTGGACTCCAGCTGCAAAGCCAGGAAAGAGCGCACGGCGTTCACCAAAGAGCAGCTGAGGGAGCTGGAGGCCGAGTTCACCCACCACAACTACCTGACCAGGCTCCGGCGCTACGAGATCGCCGTCAACCTGGACCTCACAGAGAGACAGGTACGCCCCCCCTCCCCCTCCTCCTGTGGGATAAAACACACTGCCTGGAATGCAGGCAGTCCAGAGAGATTTTACAAAGTGTTTTGCATGATTGTGTGTTGGTTTAAGAAGATATTTTGTATTGTTTGAAAATAAGTATCCATTTGAAGTTTTTCCTTGCCTGTGTCGCCTAGTGCTTGCTCATGGTGGGAATTGTTGGGTTTCTGTGATTAACTTCAGAGTAGGGTCTGACCTGCTCTGTTTGGAAAGCAATGTGAGACAACTGTTGTTGTGATGTGGCGCGATATATAAATAAAATCGAATTGAATTGAATTGAAGCTCTGGCTCACATAGGCCGTCCAGTTTTTCCTGGCCGGACTGTCTCAGGACGACTCGAGAAAGAAGGAACATTTGCTTCAGAATGAAATAAGCAGATGTTTTTCTTGAGAGAAAAACGACACTGCCTTGTTGACATCTTTTCAAAATTACACACAACATTGAGCATCTGTGTCGGCCGTTGTTTACCGAGCCACGCCGATGCACGCGCACGGCTTCATCTGAACACACCGAGCCTTTTTCCACAGTGTGGTTTTTAGCAGAATGACATGCAGCTGTAATGGTGTAATTGGTGGGGGGGGTGAACATGTGTCAGCGTGGCCGGATGGAACCGCGGCCTGCTTGTCAGACCCGGGCTCCCGGCTCCTCCTAATGAGGCGGTAGTGACCACACGTACAGTCTGACGTCTGCTCCCCCCGATTCGATCGCCAGACCCCCGGAAAACGCAAACGTCCAGCTCCTGCTGCAGCCAAACTACGAGCCCGACACAGTCGAAATGGCTTCAGCGTGTGGGAACAAATTTATCCGGGCCCAGAGGAGGCCTGGCCACCACTAAAAACCCAAACTCCAAGAATTCCCTTCAAGAGTTTGAATTTTTCATGAATCGGAGCCACGAGCTAATGCCCGTAAACGTCTCGGAGAGGAAAAGACGTGAGCTTTGACTCTGTCGTATGAAAAGAAAGATCAGAATAAAATGATTATCATCAGGGTCTGCTGATAGTCTGTCATGGCTTTCCGTTGTAAATCCCTCAACACCCCCCTCCAGCTCCGTGTGCGGCGCCTCATTAAAACAGAAGGTTTTGCTGACTGTTTCACAATATAACAGAAACCTTTGAGTATTTTTCATCTGTTACACTTCTATGCATCCCTTCTACACACAAATCCATAAGATTATGCTAAAAATTCACGATTCAGTCTTCCCAGCTGTCAGTCACACCAAATTTGTCTTTTCATAGAAGAAGTCTAACTATTATAGCCACGCCGACTTTCGGCTGAAATTTACCCTACTAATAGGAAGATGACTCAAAGCTGGATTTATTTTATTCCTGGTTGTCTCAGAGGCCAGCAGTAGTCCAAAGATATGTCACCGAGCCACCAATTATCCGTCCTGACCACAAACACACAGCAGCTCTCGCTCTCTGTCTGCCTCCACAGCTGAAAACAATCCCCAAAGAATGTCCTTTTCCTGCTTAGTTTCTGCGACAGTGCTTGTTAATGGGATGACGGATTCTTATCCGTACACCGAACTGCAGATTTAAGGCTCTGAAAACAAACCGGGCCGGCCGACTGGAGCTCTCCCCGCCCGTAATTTTCCCCGACTCTCAGGAAGTGTGAGCGTTTGCCGCTTTTTTTTTTTTTTTTTTTTCTGGCTGGACAGCTACAACGTGAGATCATTTTCATTTCGGAACAGCGCGAACACAGATGAGCCCCCGTCCACTCCGCGAGGAGAGTAAAAAGCACATCCTGTGTAGGCTGACTTCCTGATGGCCGACTCTTTGGACCCAGAGTGCATTTGATACTCTCTGCCTGCATTTGGAGGGATTTTTTTGGGCCAGAACTGAGTGCTTTGTACTGACAATTCATGGTCTCTGCAAGGCCAGTGCAAACAGAGTGATTTTATATAGTGCGCTGAGAGATTTGTGGGGGATTATTTGTCTATTTTTCTGCTGACCATGTCATAAATTCTGCTAAAAATTGCAAAAGGGGGAGGAAATCCACAGCGATCCCGTTTCAACTTCAACTGAGTAGTGTGAGAATGATATCTGGTGTAGATTTACTGTCTCCAGTCCACATGCACAGTGCATATTTGGAGCTTTAATTGCCATATATAACATATGTTTTCTATCCATTTTACCAATTTATTAATAAATTGATGGATATTTTCTCTCTTATTAATCTATAAAGATTCAGGAATTTACAAATCTATTTAAAAATGCTTTGAATTTGTCAACAAAAGAGAAAAACACCAAAAAATAAGATGCTTAAGATGATTCTCATGATTAATGATATATAGCTACAAATACAAATACATATTTTACAGATTAGTAATAATGATTTAATATTCCCATTTTATTTTAACATATAGGTTAATTTAAGTGCCTTTTCAGGCGTTTTCAGGCTGTAATGTTTGATTTTAAAGGCTAAGGTGGCTGTTGTGTGTTTCCTCCCGACAGGTGAAGGTTTGGTTCCAGAACAGGCGGATGAAGTGGAAGAGAGTGAAGGGAGGACAGTCGTCTTCGCCCAACGACCTGGAAAACGACGACATAGACTCAGCCGCTTCTCCCAGCTCCGAATGAAGGAGGCCAGCACTGAAAAAAAAAAAGCAACCGAACGCCGTCAAAACTTTTACAAAATATTGGTGGAAAGCTGACTGGAAGACCCAAATCCCTTTGGGACTTTTCTCTTATTTTTTAAAAAAACCTTTTAATTGCCCAGAAGAATGCTGAGCAGAGCCTTTTGCTGTTTTTTCTGTTGTAAATAGTCGACCCGTGTCCAGAAACGAGCTGCCTTTCGCCGTATTATTGGCAAACGCTCGGAATGAGAGCCGTCCTCTGTCTGTGTTGACTGTGTTTTAAATATGACTGAAACTTGAGGTCAGCGTGGATTAGCGACAAAGTCCATACAGCAGCTTTAAGGTTGGCGATGACATATCAGACTGTGATGTGATTGTGTTTGAATGCATCACCTTTGGTTCCAGTAGTGTAATCATGGCCTTCGACGCTTGACTACAGACACCTGGGAAAACTCAGACTGCACATGTGTTGCCAAGCCATTAAGTGCCTGAGAATCAGATGTTTTTAAATATTATTATTTTGTCAGTTTCTTTTTTCCTTGATATATATATATATATTATTTTTTTCTGTCAAGCAGTTTTTTTTATTACTCTTTTTTTATACAGTTTGAATGCCATTGATAAAACACAGATGTTGACTGTTTCTGCAAATAGAATAAATCATCTTCTGCAAAATGGGGAACACATCTCGATAATTTCTTCCACCTGCAACGTTTGAGTTACGACTGGACAGAAGGTGCAGATCGTGTGTATTCTTGGCTGATGGATGCACGTGTGGACATTTTTGGGAGATATTATTATGCCATGACTTCACCTACTAAAATACATGATTACAGAGGATTAACTTGCTTATGTTTGTTTCTGATGCTTGCAAGTTTCATGGCTAGATTAGGACCATTTTACATTTAGTTTTGATCTTTGGAAGTACTGTTAGGGAGTACATTATGAACTATCACTGGAGGGAACACATGAAAATTTAAAAGTACTTACATTTTTCTCCTCAAAATTGCACCCAAAAACGTACTCATTTCTGAAGGTAACAGCCTTTAGGGTTGCAGCGTCCTCTGGTCATTTATTTTGCATATAGAGTAAACATTTGTAGCCTGATTTAATTTCCTGTCTCTTATTTTCACCTCTTCTAACTTACAAAAGGCTGGAAGTTTATCTAGAACCCAAAGCGACACATTGTGACACATCTTTAATTAACATTACTATTAGCATAGTGTTAGCCTATATCTAGAGAAAGACAACAAAACAGCGGTGGACATCCACAAGAGGAAGATGGAGAGATGTCTTGATCACAGATCACATTCAGTTCCTTAGAATATTAAAGATCTTATATCAGATCATTTTATAGCATCTGGAAAAAAAAAATGATTCTGATATGTATCAAGTATTCTTCAAAACAGGCAAAAAATACATCTAAGAAGCTTTATTTTTGTTTTTACCCTTTCTATTCATGCTTTAATATCATAACAGAGAACAGGTGAGAGTAATAAGGAACCTTCAGGTGCAGGAAAACTCCCAAATTACCGAAAGGAGGATTAAATATCTGAGACTCCATGTAAAGCTACTTCTCAAAATGTCAGTCTGTGTTTTTGACTCATTTATTTGACCGCTGACTAAGCAACCATTTGCCCAAACTCAATTCTTTTCTGACTTGCCCACCTTCATGCAAACATAATTTTGAATTAATCCTGTTAATTTGGAAATTGGGATTTTTTTTTAGAGATAAATCGGGCCTAAGGAGTTCATGTTCATGGACAGGTTTGTGTGCACATGAACATTGAAGCCACAGGTGCAGAAAAAAACTCTGCAAATCCCAACTAGATGGATTAGGCAGTCCTAATTTTAGGGTAACATGTAAACCTTGTCCATTGATGACATAATTATCTCCATTAATATCTCAGAGCGAGGTCAGATGTCCCTGAGCTCTCATCAACGCCCACACGGATCCTGTCTACAGCTCCATAATCCTTAAGAATGTTTTCGCAGTGGCGAGTGGTCTGGAGACCCGATGCAGATCACACTGATTGGTCTAAAGTGACCTGAGGAGCACTGACAGAGCTATAAGTGGACGTGAGTGCGTTTGAACGGGACCTTTCAGTTTTGCACACCATCACTGTCATTCCACTCACAAAGGGCCATTAACCTGACAAGGTGGAGTCGGGCTCCGAACGCTAAAGTATTTGGCTGTGGCACACTATTTTCAACGGAAGCATCTGGATGGGGCCAATTTGATCTCAACCTGAGTGGAACCTAGACAAACCCACACACAGGGCCCCCAGGACCAGACGGAAAAAAAAGGAAAGAAGAAAAAAAAAAGAGAGAGAGAGAAACTTGCCGGCTGACCACTTGTGTATGATGGAAAAGGGAAATAATAGGTGGGTATGGGTGAAAAGACGGCTTCTCAAGTACAGGATGTTGTTGTAGCAGGTAGCCAGTCATCCAATTTCCTGCTTCCCAAAGAAAACAAGAGCTCCAGCTCAGGAGTCCCCCGCGCTCACAATGGTGGGCCTATGCTCCCAGTCCGGCCGGCCAAACAAAGCCCTCAGAGGTTACTGCCCTTTCAGCTGGTCTGTGGGGACCCGAGCTGGCTGGGGGGGGGGGGGGGGGGGGTTGTTCCACACATACGCAGAGCTGGGGTCAAGTGTTACTGTATGTCTGACCACTCCGGGCCCCCACTGCAGCTGCTGGAGGTGGACTGACTCCAAACCAATCCTGTGTCCCCCCCCCCCACCGCCTCACTTAGCCTCTATTAGGGTCTATTATTGTATTAGTGGTAATGGTAGTCAAAATAAACCATGTCCAATTGTAATGATAGTATTAATATCAGCAGTGTAAACTAATGAAACAGGAATGTTTTTATTCCGGCATGGAGGTTCCTTCTAAAGACGCAGGGGTGGCCAAATTTATGGATTAGGTTTAAATTAGCGGTATTGTGATTGCGGGATGTTGAAGCTGGCCAAAACACCCAAGAAGGCAGAA